CGAGTAAAACGGCTGTGGCAGATGGGAACTATGCCCTCACAGCCCCGTTAGCCCACTCGCCCGTTCGCGACCTCAGTGACCTTGGAATCCACGTCCGAGTGTCCCACGGGGCGGTGACCACACCGCCGGCCCGTGCATGCGGTAGCCATACACGTCTCCAACCGTGGACCCCGGCTGGGCGCGCGCACCCCCACACCCGCCCTCCACCCGCCGTTGGGAGCTAGGGCCTCAGATTGCTCGGTGCTCCTGGCGGGTGGCGTGAGGCTCCCCGGCGACTGATGCCGAGGAGGAGCAAGCATCAGCTCCACGGACCTGAGGCTCTCTGCGCACCCTGGGAGGAGGTCACGCTGGCAGACAGAGATCACGAATGTAATTAGCGGATGCGCCCACCTGGGGCACAGAAAGATCTGGTGGTATCCTGGTAAGGATGTGGGGGATAGAGAAAGATTGCATCCCTGACCTCAGACACTACCAGTCCCCTCTGCCTCCCCTTCGCCACTAGCAGAGATTCTAAGGATTCTGAGTTTTAGAGAGAGGGAGGAGGGGGAACCACAGGAACACAGGCTCTTGGGAGGGATGGGAAACCTTGTTCTGAAGTGTGTCAGGAGAGAAAATGTTCTTACTGAGTATACACAGGTGTGGTGACACATTTTAACTGTTTTGGAGGAGGATGATTCAAAGGGTGGTGAGTCAATGAATGCCGATAGGTCCCAAGTTTTATCAGAAGATATTCCCAGGATATTTCCACAAATTGTATCAATTATGGGGTCAGAGATTGCATGGGGAGGAGAAACCCAGAGGCAAGGAAAAGGATCTGGGGTTGTCAAGTGAAGATGGCTGTTCACTCCTCTTTCCAGGAGGAAGGAGAACACCAATTCTTCCCCATGTGCAATAACCCTGGCTCTGGCACACCCTTCAGCACTGCCTCTACCATGCTCTGGGCAGAAAAGGGCTTCAGACTGACCAGGGTTGGAGAATGAATGGTTTGCAAGAAGCAGTGGAAGACCAAGGTCTCACTGAAAGTTCCTTGGAAACAATAAATACAGACTTCTAGCATCCTGGGGCCTGTTTTCTTTCTTTTTTAAAACTGCACTGTGTGGCATGTGGGGATCATAGTTTCCCAACCACAGATGGAACCCATGCCCCCTGCATTGGAAGCACAGAATCTCCTGGGGCCTGTTTTCTGTTGTGTCCTTTCTCATTTCCTTCCTCCAAAAGACAATGTAAAATGATGTACCACCACCCCTAGTAAGGGATCATTCCTGTATCCCTTTCACCTACCACAATGCCTTGTTCATAGCCACTGCTTAATGAAAGTAAATTTGCTCTATAAATGACAAATGAGTCATAGGTCACAGATTATTGGAATCTTGGGGTCAGAAACTTCCTTGGAGGACACTAAGACTCACAGAGCATGTCCGGGAGTTGTTGACTTGAATGAGAACCTGTACCACCTGGTCTAAAGGAAGATATGCCACCACCACCTTCCCAACATACACACACACACTCTCACACACCCCATGGAGGCTCAGCTCTCACTGCAAAGGCTTTCAAAACAACAGGTGGGGGCTTCCCTGATGGCTCAGTCCTAAAGAATCTGCCTGCCAATGCAGGAGACATGAGTTCAATCCCTGGTCTGGGATGATCCCACATGCCAAGTGGTAATTGAGCCTGTGTGCCATCACTACTGAGCCTGTGCTCTGGAGCCCAGGGGCCGTAACTACTGAGACCAAGTGCTGCAACTACTTGGTTGCCTAGAAGTCCGGTGGCCTAGACCCCATGCTCCACAAGAGAAGTCACTGCAATGAGAAGCCTGAACACCACAACAAAGAGTAGCCCCTGCTTGTTGCAAATAGAGAAAGTCTGTGTGCAGCAAATCCAAATAAATAAAATTAAAAAAAAAACAAAAACAGGTGGCCCACTCATCCTCTGTCTCTAACGTGAGAGGCCCTGCCCAGGGGTCTTGGGAAGCAGAAACTGGCATAGAGATGGTGAGTAGTGACCTTGTTCCTGCCCCTGGGGCCAATGGTCCTGTACTGTGAGTTGCATAAGAGGCACAGAGCTAAGTGAGGCAGGGTAAGGAATAAACCAGAAACCTCTCTCTCAATCTCTAGGCACCCCTTCCCCAGCTTTTGTGTCCCAGGGTAGTTACCCCCAGGAGGGATGGAGCCCCCATGCCTGATAAGTCCTAAAGGACACAGAGAAGGATGAAGACTCAGACACCCCAAGATGCAGGTATCTAGGGTATAGGAGGATCCCTGAACAAAGAAGCCACAAGAAGAAGGACCAGTTCTCTTCTCAGACATGCAGCTGACCTTGTGGATAAGGCAGAGGGATTCTCATGGCCAATCTCAGATCAGCCACCTAAGGACCATTAAAACCTTGAAACAATCTTCTTGGCCCCCGCACATCCATTGTTTGCATCATACAAGAGGCCATTCCTACACCTATATTGTAGTCAGACTGACCTTCTCCACACCCCTCTAACTCATCCATCTACTCAACTTCAAAGACTGGGAAAGCTGAGGCACAAAAACAGAATTCCAGCATTTGAAAGGTCATTCCTGGCTCAACTAGGAGGACATGAAGACCCTTTGACCTTGTCCCACAGCTGCATTGGGACCCCTCCACCCTGCCCCAGGATTGTGCCTAGGTTTTCTGCCTGTGGTAGGTAGGTGGAGGCAGACTCTGCCTTCACTGGATAAGGATCTACAGACTGAACTACAAGATGTTAAGAAACTGAGCATAGCACAAAAATAGAAGTTAGGACACACTCCACCACCTAACTGTATGACCTTGCACAAGTGCCTTAACCTCCGTGGTTGAATCATTTAACCTCTGTTACTTCTGCTGTATTGTGAGGATGATAGAGGCATATAAATGTATTTCCCACTTGAAAATCTATGAAATTAACTCATTTCAATACCCATTCCAAAGTTTGTCCTTACCTTTCTAGGGAGGAAGGCCTGAGCAGGTATGGCAAAGAGCTCGTCTTTGGTTGCCTGCCTTGGGCAAATTCCTGACACAAGAAAAAGGAATTGCCCCAAGTTTCCTCATGGCAGTCAGGATGACACCGGCTCCCAGCCTGCTCGTGCCTCCAACATTGCCCATCCGTTGACTGCCACACAGGAGTGAGCTGCATATTCCCTCTTCTCACTTCCCTTCCCGCCTTTCCAGTTCTAACAGGTCCTTGTTGGCTCTCTCCACTCTGGTTTTGCCCCCAGTCCCCTCTCTGAGGGTACTACCTTCCCAGCTCCCCCCAACCAGGGGAGCTCTGAAGGAGGGGAAGAAATGAGTGCAGGAGACATAGGTGTCTCTGGTCCTTCAAGCCCTCAAGGACACCCCTTACACAAACACCCAGGCTCCTCCAAACCTCTGTGCCCCAGAGAAGGTAGCCATGTGGCTTTCCAGGTTCTCCACAGAGGACTTGAATATTCAGACTTCTGTATTTCCTTTTTTCTCTTACTCCATTTCTTCCACTTTTCCTCCCTCCTCCCACTCTTCCACTCAGTCTTTCTTCATCCATCTTCCCTAGGGAGTTTCCCTTTTCTTCTTTGCTGAAGGTGCCCACTGTCTCTCTGAACCCTCCTTTTCTCTCCTCCTGGGCCATTCTTGAATTCTGGATGAAGGGAGATAAGGAAAGGAGATGAGTTCCTTTCTGTCTTCATCAGCTCTGAGGCCATTCTTCTGAGGGCTGTATCCCCACAGGTCCCCTAGTAATCTCTAGGCATCATAATCCCCAATGAGAGATTCTCTCTCATGGCATTCAGAGAAAAAACAGGAAATGTTGTGAAATGCTGAGTTCTACACAAAGCAGCCTTTGCAGCTCCGTTGACACTAACACGCAAAGTGGCCAAAGATCTACCACAACGATGTTACTGATGAGCACGCTGTGGTGTATGAACTCCTTCTCCAACATCAGCACTTTCGTCTCAGTTTCACAGCCACAACTCTGTGGGTCAGGTGAGGTTTACCTACATCTACAGGTAAGAAAATGGACTTGGAACGGTGACTAGACTGCCTAAAATCACATCTGGAGTGTGGTGAACCTGAGGCTGGCTCTTTCTCCCGCCCACACTAAAATTATTCTTACCATTACGAGATATCACATCTTTCATTTTATTCTCACAGCAATCCTGTGAGGAGGACAAGAACCCTGTCAAGAAAAATCAGCAGTTCAAGGAGGAGGAATGACTTACTTCCAGCCCCACAGTAGACTCCAAGCCCCAAACTCCAAAAGGAAAGGAGGAACAAGAGCTCGCCGCCCCCACCCCAGCCTCCGCCAGCCAGCAGCCTGGGATGCTCCCCGGGTCTCTGCCAGGAAAACGTGGAGAGATCCAGGCCCCGCCCCCTGACCTTGTACTCTGCCAGCCTCGGGGATAGGGAGTGGGGAAAGCCTCAGCTCGTTCCCAAGACGCAGTCCCCACTTGGGCACACGCCCTGGGGTGAGGCTTCCTGGGGAAGCCGAAGGCCTTGAACTCCGCGCCGAAGAAGGGGGAAAAGCCCCCGAGACCTGGACGCCTTAGCCCAGAATGGGTTCACCGAGGAAAGGAGCCCGAGGGGACCGGGTGCCAGAGCCAAAGCTGGACCAGCTCCACCCCCGCGGGGTCAGAGCCCTTGGAATTGCCCTGGAGGAATTCCTGAAGGAATCCCTGTGGAGTTGGGGTGTCGAGCGCGGCGTAGGGCGGAGCTTCCCGAGCGAAGGTGGGCACTGAGAGGCCGCGAGGGCCAGGCCCGGGTTTTCTGTATATCCAGGAGGCCTGGGCTTCCCGGCCACCCCCGGAGCAACAGGGAGTCTTCGCGACTGGGCAGGAGCCCAGGAAGGCCCGCGCTTTCTCTGAAAGTGAAAGGAGTGGGCGGGGGGCGCGGCCGAGGCGGGGCCCAGGCGGACTGCGGCGCAGGCTCCGCCTCGGGGCAGTCTCCAGCCGGGGGCGCCGAGCGTCTCCAGTGCCCGCCGCGCCGCGGGCTGGTGGGCTCCGCCGCGGCTCTGTTACCGGGAAATGACCCTGCCCGGGGGCCCGACGGGCATGGCGCGGCCAGGAGGCGCGGTGCCCTGCAGCCCTGGGCTGGAGCGGGCCCCGCGCCGAAGCGTCGGGGAGCTGCGCCTGCTTTTCGAGGCGCGCTGCGCTGCGGTCGCTGCTGCCGCCGCCGCCGGGCAGCCCCGGGCTCGCGGGGCCAAGCGGCGCGGGGGACAGGTCCCCAACGGGCTTCCGCGGGCTCCCCCTGCCCCAGTGATCCCGCAGCTGACTGTGACTGCCGAGGAGCCGGACGTGCCCCCGGCCAGCCCCGGGCCGCCCGAGCCGGAGGGTAACTGGCTCCCGGCCGTGGGTTCGTCGCACCTGCAGCAGCCGCGCCGCCTCTCCACCTCGTCGCTCTCCTCCACTGGCTCCTCGTCGCTGCCCGAGGACTCGGAGGACGATCTTCTGAGCGACAGCGAGAGCCGGAGCCGCGGCAACGTGCAGCTGGAAGCGGGCGAGGACGTGGGTCAGGTACGGGCCGCGGGGCGGGGCCGGAGCGGGGACCTGCTTGGAGCTCTCTGCCGACCAACTCCCGCCCTAAGCTCCCTCCCCCGAGAGTCCCCTTCTCCCTCTTTTGGCAGTGGGGTCGGTGGGAGGCGCCGGGCCAACCCTTCGCCTTGACAGTTTTTACTCCAGTTCTACAGGCGAGTCGCGCCCCGGGCCCTGGGGCGTCTGAGAGAGTGAGGAATCCCCGAGACCGGCCACGGGGACCGGTGGGGCGGCGGGGCAGCGTGACTTGCCGGCCGTGAGATGGCTGGAGGGATCGGAGGGGCTTAGCGTTGCCCGGCGAACTCTCGCCGAGACCGGAGGACGAGCCTCCCTCTCTGTCGCCCCCTCTCCCGCGCCGCGGCCCCACCCCCGCCGTTGCCACGGTTTCCCTCTCCTGAGTGGGAGTGGAGCCGAGCTCCAGGCTCCGCTCGCGAACTGCTGCCGTCTGCTCCCGGCGCCCGCACCAGGCTTGGACGCGGGGAAGCGGCGGGGGCGGGGGGCGCGGGACAGCGAGCTTAGGCAGGCAGCGGAACGCTGCCCTCCTCCGCTTTACTGCTCCTAATTCTGGCCCGGGAGGGTGGGGGGAGGTAAACTGAGGCTGAGAGGGTGGGACCAGCCTGCCGATCTCCGCCCCCAGTAGCCTGGATGTTCTGTGGCCAGGTTTGACCCTTTGATAACCCAGGCTAGGGTGCGGTGCAGTCATTCCCCGTGCCTGCCCCTCCGGGTCGTGCCGCGCCCAGGATAGCCGTTCTGTCCCCCTTGTTTTAATCAAGGCCAAATACTTTAAATAACTATCCGCGGTCAACGAGAAGGAGTTGCTCTAGATCCACGTTATGCAAGTGTCCCTGGAGTGGAGGGAGAGGCGGAGGGCGCTCTCAGGCTCTGGTGGCTCGGGGCTTGCCCAGAAGGGCGGTGAGAGCAGCGGACGTGCGCCGGGGCGGCCGGGCCTGCGGAACCTAGGCTCCCCCCGCGCTCGGATTGGACAAGGCGCGAGAGTCACTGTAATGGCTTGCAGTGGCTCCGTGATTCACTAACCCCTGAGACTTACATTATCCTCAAGTCGACGTGGTTTGTGACACAAGAGGGAAAAGGAAAAAGTCTCATAGAGCAGGAACCCACCCCAACACCAGGTAGAGGGTGCGAAGAGTCCCTCTCTCCTCCCCAGGGGTAAGGGTACCTCTGACACCTGACATTTCTGATGTAACCCTGGTCCCAGAAAGGAGGCGGTGCCGCCCGAGGGTGTCTAAGGTGGTGATGGGGGGCAGTGAAAGGACTCCTCCCTCCCCACCCCCCGAAAATCCAGAGCAGTAACTGTGTGCCCAACGCTTCCCCCGTTCAAATCTCTGAGAGCTGAGAGGCGGGCGCTGGAGGCAGGGCGCCACGAGGGCAGCCCCCGGCTTCACTCTTCCTCCTAAAGGCGGAGGAGGACCTGCGGCCCAGGACTGATTACTACGTCGGCAGGCCAGCTGGGGTCAAGACTCCGGGGACCAGTTGCAGCTGTGCCCTGGGCGTCTTCGGCTGGCCTCTCCCACTCTGGGCCTCCCGGTCACCCGGCGCGGCAGGAGCTGGAGCAGATGGCCGTGGAGGGCCCTTCCAGCTCCAAGGCTGCGAGTACCAGGCCTTCCCAACCCCCAGCCCGCCGGGGCCTCCCCGAAGGCAAACAGCCACGGCGGTGGCAGATAAGCTAGGGGCTGTTGACAGAGGCCGCCTGCGTCCGCGTGGAAGGGCCCGGCTCGGACTTTGCCTCGCGGAGCCGCACAGCGCGCCCGCCTAGGCTGCCTTTAGGGCTTCCCCAGGCAGGAAGCAGAGCCCATAGGTTGGCTGACCGTGAATGATGCGCCTGGGAGAAGGGTGCTGCGGCAGCACTCCTCAACTCTCAGCTCTCCAGCCCCTTACAACTCCGGCCTGGGTGGATAATGTGAATAGTGAGAAGTCTTTGCGAGGCTTGTACATCCTTCACCTTTTCTTTCTAGAAGCCGCACACTGTGCCCAGAGCCTGGAGCTGAGCTCCCCCTCAAGGTAGTTGGGACTGGGCAGCCTGCCTCCTTCCTGCTTCCTTTCCTACGGTAGAGGGAAGAGTCACGGGGAAGAAAAACCATACAGGCCAAGAGAGGAGTTGGGGCCTGTCCCCAAGGGCAGCTGGCATGACATTCTTAGGCCTTGTCTGCCTCTTAAAACAATTTTGGGGGTGTTGCTCTAGCAGAAGAGAGGTTGTTTGACTCTTGTTTGTTTGATTTTCTTCTCTCAGTGCTCCAAGATGGGTAAGGAGACCTGGATGCGATCCTGTCCTGGGCCCAGAACTCCCACACTTCACTTTTCACTAATTATAGAGCAGAATTTAGGTTAACAGACTTCCTTTTTAAAAAGCAAATGCCCCTGGGAGGGTGAAGTCGTGGGTCACTTATACCTTGGTGAAAATCATTTTATAAATTTAAACTGATTGTTCTCACCACCACCACCAGGAGTGCTTATTTGATAAAGTATTGGGAACATGGCAAGGGGGTTGGGCTGGTAGAGAGCTTTAGCCAGAGTCTGGATGGCTGGAGGTAGGGCATGGAAGTCAGGAAGAGGGGAGATGAATACCAAAGACAAAGAAAGCAAAGGACTTCTGGCAGAAGATACACAGAGTGTCTGGTGTGATACAAGAAGCCGGAATCCTCAGGGCTTCTAAATAGAGCTCAGACAAAGGAGGGTCTGAGGCTAGTATTCAGCTAAGCTCTGCCAGAGAGAGATGCTCCCTGTCCAGCCTCATGGGTGAAGAATTATCAGAGAGTCCTCTTGTGACTTCATCAAAGACTCTCACATGGTCAGCTCTCCTGAGCTTTTTGTCCCAAGGTGTCTGAATAGCCTCTTGCTGTGCGATGCTTTCTCAGACTTCTATTCGCCTGGCCAGGCGATGGGGTTTTAACCCTTTTTTCAGCCAGGTTTCACTCTGTAACATAATAAATCTGCTTTCTGATATTCACACAATAAAAGCCTTACCTGCTCAAAAATATCTTCCCTGCTGTTGTTCATGTGCCAAAATCCCCACCCACTCGCCAGAGAATGATTCCCCAAGAACCATTCTGGATATATGCATCTTTCTATATGCATTATGTTCCCTGGGGGAGGTAGCTCCCTAGATGAAAATGGCAGAATTCCATGATGCTTGCATCAACTCCTTCCATATCTGACCCTATCCATTACTGGCAGAGGAACTAAATCCTGTCATTACCAACCAACCTCAGAAGGTGGCTGGGAGGGCTCAAATGGCATAATGGGTTTGAAAGCCTTCTGTAACCCACATGGCTGGAAACAACCTTAGTCTTTGCTGCTCTTGGCTGATATGATCTCACAAAACTGGGGTGGGGAAAGTGGAGAGATAACCCGATGTTATCTCAGTTTGGGAGCAAGTCAATGCTATATTATCACACATCACTCAAGAGGCAGTAGCCCAGGACTGCAGGTACTAAATCCTCTTCTACCAGGTCTACCTTTCATCTTCCAGCCTCACTCACTGTTCCTACATGATCACAGAAGAAAGGATGATGCAGTTCTCCCATCTCACCTAACCCAAGGCTGATTCCATCTTCTACTGGGGTAGCTATGGAACTAGATGAACCCTATAATGAAGTCCATTCTGGCCCCACTGTCCCCCCAAATTCTGCCAGTAAGTCCCTAAAGCTTCCCGAAGCCCCACCACTAAACCCACCCCTTTGGATAAACTAAAGGTGTCCAGCCAACAGAGAGGGGTCCCCAGGCAGATTTCAATGTTTCCCCAGAGATCAAAACACACCACCTTGTGGCTGCAAATTGCTTCATCTCGTACAAAACTCTTTTTCATGCAGGGTCCATTTGACCTCTGGAACCTGCTGGAATAATTGGAACATAGGGGTGGGTTTGAACTTGAGCTTAGGGCAGAGACTGGGAGGCCAGCTGGAAGCAGGGATAGCAGGAATGTTAACTCTTTGAACTTTGATTGCCTTCTGTAAAATGGCAGTAGTTACCATCTCAAGCACTTATTGTACATGTGCAGCAGCATCATGAATTTCAAACTGAGTGTGGGGGAAGAGGGTATAGGATGTGCCACTCGAATGTACCTGGCACATACATCCTCCTGGAATTTTATTTGAGGCTTTGGAGGTGGGAGAGTTTTATAATAAAACTTGGATTTATTATGCAGCATAATGCAAACCTTGTATGTATTTAAAGAGTGAAAAAGGGAGTTTTGAAAGAGATGTCATGCTTCTAGTGGGCTGCTTCTGGCTACACCCCCAGATCCCTGGGGATTGGACACGTGATCACACCCTACTGTGCCATGTAGGGACTTCAGGAGGAAAGCAGGAGCAATGCTGTCTGTTGGAGATGAGAAGCCTGGCGTGCAGTGGGCGGTCAGTAAATGGTGGCTTGTGTTATAGCAACAGCTAGGTCCAGAGGAAACAGGCTCACACAGATGAAATTCTCACTTGAGTTCACTCAGCTAGAAAGTGAGTCAAGACTGGAAGCAACTTCGGACTCCCCCTCCAGTACTCTGTCACTGACTCCCATCTCCTCCCCATGAAAAGCGGTTTTATAGTCAGCAGCTTCCTCTGCTTAAGCCTCCACCCCAGTTCTCCCTCTCACTCTAGTGAATTGAGTGAGAACTGGATTCCTGGGTTCCAGCCCTGTGGAGGCACACACATGTCATTCCTCTAAAAGGCAGGCGCCCTGGAAGGAGGCAGCAGACACACTCAGGTCTGAGCAAACCTGTGCACTCCAGTGGGTAGACACAGGAGTGATGAGCTTGGTGTGGGAAGAGGAAAGGTTCAGAGTATCAGATGATCTCAGACTAGACGCAATGGTCAAGAGGCAAAAGGTACACCAAAATCTCTATTTCCCTCTCAGTTTCATCTAAGATGACAGACCCTCCTCTCTATTCCATTTTCAAAACCCAGGTTTCTGGGTCCAGGTTGGGGCACCCTGGCCTTGTCAACTGGTAGGGAGTGAGATGGCATCCAAGGATAGGAAGAGGGCCTTGGGGAGCACCAAACCATTCTTTCTTCAGGCCCTACCAGACTAGCCTCCCTGCCCTGGGCCTGTGTAATGATTTGTTTCCATGTTTGTCTTTTTTCCTAAATGAGAGGAACCAATGGTCCCAAGTATTAAATGATAATCCAGATTTGTGCAGGCAGTGGTCTACACCAAGGAATGGGGCAGGGGGTGGGTGGTGTCACACTCAAGTCTTATTTACTACTAAGTATTATTTACACTCAAGTCTTATTTACTACTTATTTCCCCGTTTTACAGATTAAGAAACTGAACTCAGAGGTTTCTCAAGCTCCAGAATATCCCAAGGCACTGGTAAAAGTGCAATGCTCAGAATTTCCCTGTGGTAGACCTGAAAATCTGCATTTTTTTTTTAACATCACGAGACTGTCTTCCTCACAAAAGTCCTAAAACCTCTACGAGCAGTTCAGTAACCTGTCCATGCAGCTGTGGAGCAGCAGAACTGAGCTTTCTGACGCTAAGGCTGGGGCTCTTTTCAGCACACTGGATATCTGTCATCTCCAGGTGCTTGTCTCAGGGTCCGCCACACAGGCTCACGATAAACTTCCCTGAGTGAATGAGCCGCTGAAGCTCCAGGCAGGAGCTGCTCAGGGTAGGGTGGGACGGGGCGAGACCATGTTCCAGAGGAAGGAGGGCTTGTGTACTGCTGAGACGCTGACTGGCAGACCGGGGTCGTGTCGGTTTCAGAAAAGCCACTGGCAGAAGATCCGGACCATGGTGAACCTGCCGGTCATGAGCCCTTTCAAGAAGCGCTACGCCTGGGTGCAGCTGGCAGGGCACACGGGTGAGCACGGGGCCGTGGCGGGTGCCGGGGGCGGAGGCCGGGAGGAAGGAACTTAGGCGGCACTAACCAGGGTCTGCCCTCAGGGAGTTTCAAGGCAGCGGGCACCAGCGGACTGATCCTCAAGCGCAGCTCAGAGCCGGAGCGCTACTGCTTGGCGCGGCTCATGGCGGATGCGCTACGCGGCTGCGTGCCCGCCTTCCACGGCGTGGTGGAACGCGACGGCGAGAGCTACCTGCAGCTGCAGGACTTGCTCGACGGCTTCGATGGGCCCTGTGTACTAGACTGCAAGATGGGCGTCAGGTACGCGTGCCCCGCGGGGCGGCTGGAAACCAGTAAAGGGCGCAGGGCGGGAACGAGCGCTCTACGCGTGCCCAAGGCAGTGCTCGACGAGGTCCGGGTGTGCGCCCGCTCACGCCGCGCCGCTGCCTGCGCCTCCGTAGGACTTACCTGGAAGAGGAGCTGACCAAAGCCCGCGAGCGGCCCAAGCTGCGGAAGGACATGTACAAGAAGATGCTCGCGGTAGACCCTGAGGCACCCACCGAGGAGGAGCATGCGCAGCGCGCGGTCACCAAGCCGCGCTACATGCAGTGGCGAGAAGGCATCAGCTCCAGCACCACTCTCGGCTTCCGCATCGAGGGCATCAAGGTGGGCCAGGCCCGCGTCGCTTTGTACTTCCCGGGCCCTTCCTCCGCCCCAGCCCCACTGTGCTGTGTCTGCCCTCCGTGTTGACCTCCCACCCCTACTGCCCCCGGAAGAGGCACCCTCTGGCGGCCGTCTCGCCGTCCCTGGCATTCAACGTCCCGGGAAGTACCGCTGCTGTAGCCAGATCCTCTCCCTTTGGGCGCACACGTGGCCCCTGACGATTTCTGCCCACCTTCTACAGAAAGCCGACGGCTCCTGCAGCACCGACTTCAAGACCACGCGAAGCCGGGAGCAGGTGATCCGAGTCTTTGAGGAATTTGTGCAAGGGGATGCAGAAGTGCTGGTGAGCGTGGGATCCCAGGACCCTGAGATGCTGGGGAGCCTGATACCAAGGGGTGCCCCCAGCTCAGGTCATCTGACGCAACACCCTTCCCTACGTAACCCGCATCCCAGTGTTTATCGCACTGCGCTCTTATTGCTTTACAACAATTCTGGGCTGCACGCCAAGTGGGGGCCTGCGCCTTCCTCACCATGGTATTTGCCAAGCCAAACATGCATCGTGGCGTTCTTCATAATCTCATAATCGCAGAGGTTCAGTTGGTATTTAATTTGTCCTCCTCTTCTCCACCCTCTCCAGAGGAGGTATCTGAACCGCCTGCAGCAGATCCGGGACACTCTGGAAGTCTCTGAGTTCTTTAGGAGGCATGAGGTAAGAGGGGCAGGCTCACATGTCTGTGGTCTGTGAGGGAAGAGGGTGGAGGGCTTCTCCGGATTAGAGCCGTAGCCTGACGGTGGGGGACTCGCAGGTGATCGGCAGCTCGCTCCTCTTCGTGCATGATCACTGCCATCGCGCTGGCGTGTGGCTCATCGATTTTGGCAAGACCACGCCTCTCCCTGACGGCCAGACCCTGGACCACCGGCGGCCCTGGGAAGAGGGCAACCGAGAGGACGGCTACTTGCTGGGGCTGGACAATCTCATTGGCATCCTGGCCAGCCTAGCCGAGAGATGAGGCTGGGCCCCTGTCCCTGCTGACCTGAGGGTCTGACAGATGGAGCTGCGCCTGCGTCCCCACCATGCATGCAGGCAAGAGAGACTAAAACCCCGCAATGCGGGGCAGTGCATACGGCCCTGTAGGGACAAGTGCCAACCACTGTGGGACACACTGCACGCGCAGAGCCTGGCCCCCTACAAGCCCCAGTGTTCCTAGAGCCGATGACACTAATTAAGTGGGGGAGGGAGGAGGAGAGTGGGGTAAGTGGCTTCTTCTTCAGCCCAGCTCTTCTGAGGGGGCTCCATACCTCTCCAGAGAAGCCAGATAAAGAACTTTGTTTCACAGGCACTAGAGCTATTGGTCTGAACTCCCACACTACAGTGGACTCCCCTTCCCAATAAAACTCAAAGACACCAGCTTTGACTCTGGCTCCATCCCCTCCTTCCCTCTGGTCCCTTCTTTCTTGGTTCCCTGGCGTCTGTCAGGTGCACTCAGATCACTGTGGTCTATGAGAAGAGCTCTTTTTTAGAGGCATGTGTAGTGTTGGGGGCTGCCCAGGTGGAGGATGCTAATGGGGTAAGGGCAATCCAGAGAAATGCAGAAGGCAATTTCAATTCCCCACCTACACCTTGTGGGTGGGGGTGGCCTCTAGTCCCAGTATCAAAGGCTGGGAGTGGCCAGGCTCTTGCCCAGGAGGCCTGAGACTGGTTTCCAGGATGGAGAGTTCAATGGTGCCAGGCCAGCCCTGAGACAGGCCTAGACATGCAGCACAGACTGCAGGGGACAGAGGCAACGTGGGCCACAAGCCACCTAGAAGCCTGGGGAGGAGTGCAGGGAGGAACTGTCACCATCAGTGCCAGAGTCCTCACCCGTAGGACCCTGTGGCACCCAGGAACCACAGGTGAGATTCCAAAGGTTCCAAGGTTGGTTACTCCTGGATTCGGGGGACTTGAGGCCAAAGGGCAGCTGGGGACCAAGGAGGCTCCCTCCCCAGTTCTTCAAGCTCCCTAGACTCAGTTCCTGGGCCTGTGGAGATCTTAGGCCCCCCAAAGACAGGCTCCCCAGCCCCTTCCTCCTCCAGGATGGGTTAATTCTATTGAAAGGGGAGAATTCAGCACAACAGGGTTCTTTAATAGGAAGGTAGAGGAGTGGGGCTCACAGTGTTGTCTTATGGTTTCCCTCCTGGTCCCCAAGTCCAGGATGGTTGGGGCAGGTCAGGTGGTACACCTGAGTGCTGTACTGAAGATGCTCCAAGATGCTGGCAAAATGAGGACAAGGTTCAGCTGATGCTGTTAACACTGGGGATACAGGACCTGGGGAGAGGAGTTCATTGCCAACCCTGGCAGTGAAAAACCTCCCCCTCAAGACAACACTCCATACTCACTGAGAGGGTCACCCATCCCCCACCCTCCTGCCCCATGACACAGTCAGCACCTCCTGACTGGTGCACCCAGGGTAGGGTATATAGCCCAGTGAGATCTCCCAGAGCAGCATTTAAAGACCTGCATCACATGTGGCGGGAACTGAGTACAGTGGAGCCCGTCAGGAACAGCTTCCCTTTCTCTCACATGAGGTGACCCAAGGTAGTGGAGTGCATGTTATCACCAGGAGTCTGTCTTGGCTGTAAAGATGCCCTCCAGGGAGGCTTCTGGGGGGCCCCCCTTGTGGTAATAACTGGCCCTACAAGAGGGAGGAATGGAGTGATGAGCTGTTCAAATGGTCTGAAGGTGCTAGTAAACTCCCTTGGAGCACCACATGCCCAGGTCCTACACCTGTAGATATTGCTTGCATGCAGAAGTCTCCAATCTTGGCCACTTGGCTGAATCCATTGCAGCTCAGAAGGCAGTTCCTGGTGGCCCAGCAGAGTCAGGCAAAAAATCACTGCCAGAACTCCAGCCTTGATCTTCTCTTTAAAAGGGCTATTCCTTGGGGAAGGAGCAGGATGGGCGGTCCCTAGGGTTAGATCACTTGCAACCTGTGGATGAAGTGATTTTCTTCCAGGTAGTGGCAACCCTCAGCTATGTCCCAACCAGCTGGAGGAGGTCTTGCATGGCCAGAGGTGATGGATGGGCCTCGGTCAGGCAGAACGTACATCAGACCATACAGGTTTGGGGTCCCATGAACAGGTCTTTACCTGACTCAGGAAACCCTTCATGTCCCCTCCAGACACCAACTCCAGCAGAATTAGGCCAGAGGTAGCCCTGATGCACTCACAGTATTCTGATGCTCTGATGGCTGAACTCGCTGAGTCGGTGGTGCACATACCTCATCACCAGCAGGGAGAGAAACCATGCTCTAGGCTCCACAAGGCTGGAGAGGAGCTCTGTGTCCCTAGAGCTGCTACCTTTCAGCCCCAGGGTGAAGAGAAGCTATTTCTGCAGGCGAGTCTGGGTGCCTCCCTCCCACTTGCACCCTCGCCCCTGGCCCCAGGTGTGCCCCATGATGAGTGCCTTGGTGAGGAAATCCAGCCCATCCTGTGGACAGCAGAGTTCTGGCAGAGTCTAGTCGGGGAGAGGGGCTTCCTTGGTGGCTCAGCTGGTAAAGAATCTGCCCACAATGAAGTAGACCTGGGTTCGATCCCTGAATTGGGAAGATCCCCTGGAGAAGGAAAAGGCTACCCACTCCAGTATTCTGGCCTGGAGAATTCCATGGACTATCCATGGGGTCACAAAGAGTCAGACGTGACTGAGTGACTTTCACTGGGGAGGAAGACAACAGATCTCCTGAGCACCCCGGACATTTCAAGAGTGCAGGCTGACCCTATCTCCAGCCATGACTCCTTCGTCAGAGACCCTTCTCTTCGTCTCTGTCAAAAGCCCCACCCCTCTCACCTTGATAGTCACCTGCAGGAGGCTGGGGTCCCCAGGAAGGCCAATTACCAGTCCCTCATAGGCCTCTCCAAAGACACCACGGGCCAGGGATCTGCAGAAAGGCAGATTGAAGGGGAGTGGGTGGTTGGGTCTGGGGAAGGGTTCTTGAGGGTCTAGAGCCTCCTTTACCTCCCCTGTCCCCCTGCTCACCCTCCATATGCCCAACTGGCCCTCTCTGAGGGTCTGAGCTCTCTGCATCATGGCGTGTCCCCAAGGACAAGCTCTGCAGGGGTGACGGTGACCAGGGCAGAGTCAGGGCAAAAGAAAGGGCAAGTGTGGGATAAGGCGGTGGGGTGGGATTCTCTGCTAAGTCTTCCCTTAGGTCCCTGCAGACACTCTGGGATGAAGACAATACTTATGCCAAAGGAATCGTATTTAGGGTCCCTACCATCCCAGAACTGCGATGATAGCTGACTTTGCCAGGTTACTTCCCCTTTTGGGGCTTCTCTGACCTCCATCTCCCCTATACAAGGGGTTTGGACCAGATGCTTACTGGGATCCATAATTCACCACAGCAGGGAGCAGGATGGAGGCTGGGGATTCAGAGTGCATTAGGCTCTCAGAAGGAGGTAGAGGATTCAGCTTAGCAGAATGAAATTGGCTGAGGAAACCTCCATAAGCCCTGGGGGCAGCATCTGGGACTAGGCTGGGCCAAGCCTCACCTGGAAGTAGTAGGGGTTGGGGATTGTCTTCATGGTGGAGATGTGAAGCTTGCTGATCTGAAGCTCAAGGCCGGGCAGCCTCATCCACCACGGGTCCTGCCACTTCTTTTAGTTCACCAAGGATGGGAGGAACACTGCCATACTCTCTACCTGCCCATCAGGCCCGCCCTGACCTGCCCCCCTGCCCAGGACACCTCTCCAGATGCCCATTAAAATAAACGCTGTTCTCAGGCCTCCCCAGCGGCTTCTATTCTTTAGAACCCCAGGGGAGTTTGCCACTTCTCTCCTGGCAGAGAACGGTTCTAGGTTCTATGAAGACTACAAGACCTTTTAGAACTAACACCCCAAAAAGATGTCCTTTTCATTAGAGGGGACTGGAATGCAAAAGTAGGAAGTCAAGAAACACCTGGAGTAACAGGCAAGCTTGCCGTGGAGTATGGAATGAAGCAGGGCAAAGGCTAATAGAGTTTTGCCAAGAGAATGCACTGGTCATAGCAAACACCCTCTTCCAACAACACAAGAGAAGACTCTACACATGGACATCACCAGATGGTCAACACTGAAATCAGATTGATTATATTCTTTGCAGCCAAAGATGGAGAAGCTCTATACAGTCAGCAAAAACAAGACTGGGAGCTGACTGTGGCTCAGATCATGAACTCCTTATTGCCAAATTCAGACTTAAATCGAATAAAGTAGGGAAAACCACTAGACCATTCAGGTATGACTTAAATCAAATCCCTTATGACTATACAGTGGAAGTGAGAAATAGATTTAAGGGACTAGATCTGATAGAGTGCCTGATGAACTATGGATGGAGGTTTGTGACATTGTACAGGAGACAGGGATTAAGACCATGCAAACATATGAAAAAAAAGCAAAATAGCTGTCTGAGGAGGCCTTACAAATAGCTGTGAAAAGAAGAGAAGAAAAAGCAAAGGAGAAAAGGAAAGACAGTCCCATCTGAATGCAGAGTTTCAAAGAATAGCAAGGAGAGATAAAAAAAAAAAAAGCCTTCCTCAGCAATCAGTGCAAATAGAGGAAAACAATAGAATGGGAAAGACTAGAGATCTCTTCAAGAAAATTAGAGATACCAAGGGAACATTTCATACAAAGATGGGCTCCATAAAGGACAGAAATAGTATGGACCTAACAGAAGCAGAAGATATTAAGAAGAGGTGGCAAGAATACACAGAAGAACTGTACAAAAAAGGTCTTCACAATCCAGATAATCACAATGGTGTGATCACTCACCTGGAGCCAGACATCCTGGAATGTGAAGTCAAGTGGGCCTTAGAAAGCATCACTGTGAACAAAGCTAGTGGAGGTGATGGAATTCCAGTTGAGCTATTTCAAATCCTGAAAGATGATGCTGTGATAGTGCTGCACTCAATATGCCAGCAAATTTGGAATCAACTATCTGCCCCTGGAACCCCACAGAAGCCTGTTGGCTCAGTGAAGAAATCAGCCATGCCTGCTGGGTGCT